AAGGGATAAGGGCACATTTACAGGAAACCAATTGGTTTTGCCCATAGAAAGGTTGATTTCCCCTTCAGGAATTGAATGCTTCGGATACGTTGAGCCAAACCCAAACAACTGGAGCACCGGAATGGGGTTTTACCACCCAATTTTGAGCAAATGATGTCACTTGCGTCTTGCGTAATCAAAATACCTGGGGTTCTTGAAACCAATGAAGACGTGTCTAAAACAGTATGCCAAAATATATGCATATTATATATGAAAACATCACATCAGGATTTCGCCAAATAAGCAGCAAAAACCCATCAAAATTTGACCAACAAGGTATCTGGATGTGTACCTCTAGGAAGGTCCCTTTATGTCCCTTTCCATTGAACTGGCCTAGACTCCGAGACTCCGAGACTCCTAGACTGACCCCCTTTTTGATGATGGAGTGATGACCATGTGCAAAAAAACATGGTAGTTTCAATCATAGCTCGGAACACCAAAAAAGTCGACCAAGACTTGATCTACGAAGGTATTCTGAGTCCCAGCCAAGCCAGCAGCTGTCTCATGGGACAACATCTCATACATCGGACCTGGCGCTGTGAAGGATCTGCGACTCCCGCAACTAATTTGTGGAGATGTTCAACTACAACAGCTGGAAGACTTAGCGGGAGATTCCCAATGGATTGGTTTAGGGGACCTTAACCGGAAACCATGGATTTTCCCATTAAATATGGGGCTTTCCTGTAAATTGTCCCGTGAAAACCAATCCATTGAGATTCCGCTAGCACCAGTGATTCCCCCTGAAGCGCACCTTTCGGATCCTCACCTGCGGCATGCAGCGTGCCATGTGGGGGTTCCACGCTTATTCAACATGTGTATAACCTTGTTTATAGGTAACGCCCGTAAAGACGCGGGCTCTTTTTAACTCATCCTTCTCGGATGTGCTCCAAGACATGTGGCACAGCTGTCCAAAGGTCTTTGCCATTGTTGTATCTGTATTGCCAGCAGCTATATGTCCACTGCCAAAGACCTTACACGAATGTTAACATCACCCCACCCATCCCCATACCCAACCCAAGCAACCTGAACAACGTAGTGTTCAGAAAGCGTGAAAGTTAACACGAACGTCAACATCACCCCACCCATCCCCATACCCAACCCAAGCAACGTGAACGACGTAGTGTGCAGAAAGCGTGCAAGTTAACACGAACGTTATTAACCGTTATTATCACCCCACCCATCCCCATACCCAACCCAAGCAACGTGATCAACGTGCGTGCAGAAAGCGTGCAAGTCAACAAGAACGTTAACATCACCCCACCCAGACCCATACCCACAAGAAACATCGGACGTTAAAAAAACGTGAAAAGTCGCGTCTTTATGGGTGGCGTTCGTATAAACAGCCAACAAAACACCCAGGAGAACTACTCACATACAAAAAAAACCTTCTTGTCACATATAATTGCATAAATAAATGAATGAATAAATATGTATATATATATATATCTGTTATATCCATATATTATATCCATATTATATATATATATATTATAATATTATATATATTATATATAATATTATCTATATTACATATATTATATTATATTTATATTATATTCTATTATATTATATTATATTGTATTATATTATATTGTATTATATTATATTATATTATATTATATTATTATATTATATTATATTCTATTATATTATATATATGGCATACCCAGTGATTCATGATAAGACGAAGCTTGAAAAGATATAAAAGCAACGTGGCATCCAGCAAGCACCTCGTGCGACGCGGAAGCTGCCATAGGCCTGTCCCATTGGGCAAGGTGGGAAACCCATGACACTACTAGGTGACTACCCTCTGGTAAACTAACATAGTTTAGTGGATTTACCCATTAAAAATTGCGATTTTCCATAGTTATGTTAGTTTACCAGAGGGTAATGTGATTAGTAATTTGTCAATTGGATATCCTGGATACAACTTGGGTGTGGGAATGTGGAGGATCATTCTTACTATCTATCTTGTATGCTGCTGTCATCTATGGTGATTTCTTGGGATTGAATGGGATTTTCCATAATACTGGGAATAAATGGGATGTAAATGTGATCTAAGTGGGGAGTTTATCATCTATAATTGGGATTCAACCAAACATTCCGATTAACCAACCATCTGGAGACGCTTATATCATCCGAAATTGGGGCATACCGGTTATACCCAATAAAAAGAAGCCCCAATGTTGGATCGCTTATGGCATTGGGTGTCCGTCTCGCGTGACACATCCCTGGCCTTTGTTTAGGTGACGTCTTCATCATTTTCTCTGGGATGGTTCCGAAGCTATGGAAGATCTATACATGAGTCTTAAAGGCCTATGTGTGGATCTATGTGCCGCCTGTTTCACTGCAGATACCTCCATGGGCCATTTTTCGTATGTCCAAAGCTTTGAGAATCTCCTTTCACAGGTTAGTTGAAAACCGGAAAACGGATGCAAACTTGTAGATAATGTGGACCCCAAATCAAACTCACAGATGGTTCTTTAAGCTATAGCTGACTTGCAACGACTGACAGATTCCTTTGTTGCTTTAGTGTGTTCAGACCTGATTGATCCACCGAAAGTCTCACACATCCATATTCATCCCCATCTGTTGGGAGGTTAAAGCAAATCATCACCATTTATAAGCTTATAAAACTCTAAAAAAATCTCTGTGTGTTTTGTAAAAATGTGTGGTTGTTTGTTCATGTTAACCTCTAAAATCACCCAAAATCAGTTTAAAAAATCTCTAAAATCCATCTGAAAATATCCACATCTCCCAATTCTTGCACCTGGGACTCTCCAGACAGGGCTCCATGAGGTGCTAGTGCGAACCTCGGGAAATTGTTTTGTTCTGCGGAAAGGCCATGGAAAAAGGTGGAAAATGTAGAAAATATAGACTAAAATGATAGAAAATGGTAGAAACATGTGGCAGAAATGTGTTTTTCAAAGAGCTTGGGAAGAACATGTAGAGAAATGGACTAAGAAAATCTGAATCTATGTGAAGCCCATCGGAAAATTCACACGTTCATCTTGCTGGAAATCAATGGATGTTCCTTCCCCTTACACCTGGCCTGAAAATCCATTGCTTTGAAAATGCTGGGGGAATCATTGAAGGACATCTGCCCTTGAAGTTGTTGTCATTCACCCAGAACGGCAAAGAAGCTGCAAGAATGGAGTGGTTCACCTCCAAATTCTGCCCAAAAACGTCATCATTCCAGCAGAAAACCATAGAAAACGGCCATCTTTCCCAATCATCTTGGACCGAGCGAAACCACAACCAGGACCCCACACAAATGGCTGGAGAGTGCCAGGAAAGAGGCGAAAAGCCGGGGCTTCTCCTGCAGGAAACTGGGAAAGAATTGCTGTTGATCTTCCAACATTTAATGGAAAATGGATATGGGTCAAAACCCTATACCCCTGGTGAACATCAAAATAGCTGGTAAATGGATGTTCATCCCCCTAAAAATGGTATTAATAGGTATTGATCCATAGCCAAATGGGAAAACAATGGGGAAAATCATAGCGAGAAGCAAGCTTCTCAGAACCTGTTTCTAAGTCGGATGATGAAACATGATGAAACACTTCTATGCTTAGCCGGCTTAGCCTTGTTTTTTTCCCACATGCACAGCATGTGAAATGGTCACGTAGGGGTGGGCGATCCCAAGCTGAAATGTTCGCGGAGTACTTCCTTGTCCCTCTCAATACATGTCTAGTAAATCTCAGAGTATGTCTAGAGTCTAGAGCTTAGCATGAACTTTGAGAGTCTTCGTTACCCTTGACTTCCGCTGAAATCTAAGGTGAAGGACAGTGAAGGACCATCAGTTCCAGTTGTATCACCTCATTTGGGGGGATGAACATTCATTCATCCCAGCTTTACCTGCAAAATTTTGGGGCTTAGGCTACCAGGCTACCGGTTTTGACCCAGACCCAGCACTGAAAAACTCCGGACCCTCCGGACCCTCCGACCCCGGAGGCTCCATGAAATGCCCCAGGCGTTGCAGCGCGTGATAGAGATGATGCGTCAAGCCTCGACTCCGGGGAGGATCTTGGGAAGGCTCGGGAGTCTCAGCAATGGCTACGTAGCCAGATAAAAATGATGGGAATTGGAAAATCTGCCATGTTTTGCCAGGACTATATTTTTTGATATTTGGGTGAAAAAACTATTCTGAACCCTGGGACATCTAGTCATTAATTGGAGAATCAAATATCATAGTGGGTGAGAAGTCAACTGTGGCTGTACTTTTTCGACAAGACCTGGCAATATATGGAAGAATCATGGGAAGATCTGAATAGCAAGTATGGTCGCAAGTCACAACACATCTGCTGGCAGTTTGTGCACATGCTTCCCCACCGCCCAAGGCGGTCCATTTTTCAAACGAATCGAATCCTGTTGTCTGCGACGTGTGCGCAACGCTGGGCGCTGGGAGGATGTACATGATGTGTGAGTCCACTTTCATCTTTACCCGGTATTTTATAGGGGTTCCAATAGCATCAAACCTACAGAAAACTCCAAAAATCGAATTCTGCCAGCTGGTCATGGGTCATTCGCCTTTCCGAGGACTTGGTAATGTATGTATTCCTGGGATGTATGTCCTGGGATATATGTGGAGGGCATCTACTCAAGGTAGATAGGGGCCAGAAACACCTCCCTAAATTCGTACTAGACCTACGGCGCATTTCGGGGTTATAGATTTGTCATGGTCAAAACATGGTACATGGGGTATGGTCATCCCACCATCAGCACTTAATTTGATTAGATATTCCCACTCAGTTCCTCTTATGTACTATATCCCACTATAAATATGATTCGTATGGATATCCCCACTTGCGTCTCTGTATGATGGTTGATATCCCTTGCGTGAAGCTATGGTTACCATGGCTTTCAACCTACAACCAACAATGGGCAAAGTCTCAGTCTCTCACACTGGGTAATCTCCTGACCAACCCCTCTGAAACATGTGGAAACACTCAGCTGCACCATCACGAGCGTCTCGCCACGCTGTATCCCAGCAGCACTCCCAAGGTAAGCCTCAGTGGTCGCCAGTGCTCCACCGTTTGATCCATCGGAGGCCGAAGGGCTGCTTGAAGTTTCACTGGGACTTTGCTATGTCTCCATGTTGATGCCCAACACATTAAAAAGAAGAAACATCAAGGTCCACTTTAGCTCACGCTCTTAAAATCTCTGTCCCCAATCGTCTCGCACAATTCACCAACCAAAGTAATCTATTCCAGGCGGCAATATGCCCGGCTATTGTATTCTCATGGCTAAGTGCTAGTGCAGCAGTTGCCTAAATGCTGAAAAGCACCCTGATTCATGAACAAACAAACCTCTACTTATTTACAGTTATTGAGCAACATCTACAGACCTTGCACTCAGTGGCAATATGTATGGGTACGTGAACATTTTTTGATATTTTTTGGAGAGTCAAGTTAAGAACGCCCTTGCCCCAAGCGTTTGAGTGAGTCTGTGAGTCTTTGAAAGACTTCAGGGCCTGCACAGCTCAAGACAAGACACCCCACAGCCAAGCCCATCAACGTTTCCTGCCGGCAGAAGTGGTGCCACATGATACCTTTGGGAATCCCCCCGGCAGTGCCATAAAGAATGCTTCCATGGGTTTGTCTGAGAAGGAAGAAGATCCCTGCGATTTTCCCTTGGTTTACCAGGTTCCCTGGCAAGTGCGCCAAACAATTGACTCCCGATTTTGGGACACGCCCATATCATCATATCATATGCTTGGTTAGTCTTATATTATATATATATGTATATGCCATTAGACCCTCCATGTGTATCATTTTGGCAAACAAGCAAAATCCACTAGCAGCCTTGCCAGCTCTACCATGCTTTAGCGAGCTTGGGATCATGCAAAGAAAATTATCCCAGCATTGGTCAAGTGATCCACTGCCACCATTGTTTATAAACTCAAACTGGCTGTCAGTTGAAAGACTCTGTTTTGTTGTTTGTGATTGTTGTTTGTGAAAACTGGATTCTCATCTTAATTGCACAACTTCCACATGCTGTAACCCACCATCACCGGAAAGTGCTGAGACAATGTCAGACAATGTACGTAGGCAATTAGCTTAGAATTACATTGCAGGATTTGAAACCATCGGGAGAGTTTATGTGCATCATCAGTTTTAAGGTATGACAAATATCATCATCCTACATAGAGAGAGAGAGAGAAAGTTGGTCTTGTTAGTGAGACGAGTAGGATTCATCCACTTGCAACTGGAAATAAGTACAGTATCTATTTGTTGTAAACACAAATCAGATCAAATCAGTAAGATATGACAGAAATTAATCTATAAAAAACAAACAAATCAGATTAAATCAGTAAGATATGACAGATATTCATCTATAAAAAACAAACAAATCAGATTAAATCAGTAAGATATGACAGATATGCATCTATAAAAAAACAAACAAATCAGATTAAATCAGTAAGATATGACAGATATGCATCTATAAAAAAAAAATATATATATATAAATACCTAGAAATAACTGTCAATTCTGACCCCAACCAAACCCCAGCCCGCCTTGGAAGGCCTTGGAGATGCCACGGCCATTCCCACTCGCAGCCGGGCTGTGGCCACATCGCTGCTGGCCTGTTTAAGACCCAAAGGTCTGGGATGTTTCCCAGATGGTATGGGTCAAAATTAGGTACCCCAATCATTGGATGGTTAATACTAAACTAGACATTCACATCTGTGGTCCACATCCAGATGGTCCAACCATTTTTTGGGATGGGAGAAGTTTTGCCACGAAGAATTGCTAGTTATAACATGATTTATCATTGAAACACTCATGATTCATTCTTGATCTAACTAAATTTTGAAATATATATATATGTCAAGTGAGGATTAATAATGCCCTCCCGATTAATCAACAGCAACTGCCCCAAAAAAAAAATGTAATTTAAAAACAGGTGGTCCCCCCAGATTAATAAATTTTTTGGCCTACCCCCGATTAATCAACAACCACTTCGGAAATCCATTTTTTTATCCAACATTTTTTATTTCCAATTCTATTTATTTCCAATTGTTTTTTACCTTTTTCTTAATCATCATTGTTATACTTCAGGTTTAAGTTGATCATTGAAAATTTCAAAAAACAACTATTCCCCAAATGATCGATTTCTAATTAAAATATTTATAAAAAACATCAGTTTGGATAGCTCCCAAAGGGTACCCCCCATGAGCCCATGTCCCCCAGTAATAATAACCATGGTTTGCCCCTGATTAATCAACCACCTTTCTGATCCATGAAATTTTAACAAATCCAATGGAATTCTATTAAGATCTAATTGACGTAAGCCATATCCAAAGTTTTATGGTTCAGAGTTGCTTATTATTAAGGGGCGATCAAGAAAACCAGTCAGAAGGTACCTCCCTACCTTCTGTGGGGGGGGGGTTATTAATCCGGTGTTGGCATTATCGGATAAAGACACTACAAAAAAAACTGGGATCGATGATCAATCCAACAAAGTTCCGGGCTTTACCAACGGAATACGGGATGGTTGCAAGTGTTGCAAGTCACAATCCCAACAAGAAATGGATGGGATTTGATCAAGGACAAATGGATATCACCAGTGACAATGTGGCAAGAATCCAAGGGTGTCGTCTAGGTCTGGTTCTAAGTTCCAGTTATGGGCTCCCGAAAAGATGAGATCCAATGCTAAACCAGGGGAAGGTGTGCATCATTTTGCCCGTTGAGGATGCCTCAGTACTGGCTGAACGCGTAGACACCCATCTCCCCCGGCGGAACCTCTTGAACTTTCACATCAGAGGGGTAGAATCCAATCCTCGCAGGCCAAAAACTCCAAGGCACAAGGCTTTCCAGGGATCCAAAAATCGTGGCGACAAATGGGGCTCTGGGATCTAATGATTTTTGGAACCATATTCGGGGATGTTTCATAAAATATGAAATATATCAAATCAACATCCAATTGTTTGATATTGTTTGATACCCACAGTTATTTCTATAATATATTATGATATCATTTAATTAGCTACTTAGGAAGGGATTACTGATTACTCATCTCTTCTTTGAGATTGATCGCCCCAGAAGAACAGCAGTGCCAAGTCGCTGCTTATCCAGTTCGCCCAGAAGCGGATCCACACCTCGTCAGAGGAAAACTGGGGGTCAAAGCTGGGGGTCCAAGAGGACCTGCAAAAAGGTTCCTCAACTTGACTCACTCCCCAGTTCTATTGCGAAATGTCAAATGTGAACTTTTTACTCACCAAACTTCGCAAAATCCCGAGAGGTTCCTGTTTGACCCCAGCTCTATGGCGTGTGTTCCATGGCGGCCTCGATCGTCGATGTAAAAATCCGCCACCACCTTTCCAAAGTGAACCTCATGGTACCTGAAACAAAAAAAGCTAGACAGCTAGATGCAGTGTAGCACTTCAGTGGGGAGTAGTGTATGGGATTTGAGCATTGATGAAGTTCAAAATTGGATGTTTGAACAGTGTATGGGCTGCTGGGTCTTAGCTTCCGAGAAACAAATGGTATATAAATGGCAAATGAATGAACTCAAGTCAAAGCGGCTACCCCTAGCAAGTATTAGCAAGTATGATTGGAAATGCCAAAAAAAAACTAGTGATCCACGGAGGATTATCTTCCAGGGTCCAAAGTTATGAACTCTTAATCGTTCCAGAGAAAAAAAAAAAACAGGACCTTCGAAAACTGCCCCCCACCCCCCGCATCCGTTTTGAGAACAAGAGATGGGGGTCGCCAGTGTCGCATGGAGGTTTCTATTCAAAGATTGCCGACCTACGCTACAATACATGACAATACACTGTTGATCGTTCGCAGGATATGATCTTTACAAATCATATAAATACATATATATATGTTATACATATTCATACATACATTCCATTACATTACATTACATTGCATTACATTCCATTCCATTACTGATTGGTGGTTTTAATATGTCTTAATCATCTTGAAAAATATGAGTTCGTCACTTGGGATTATGACATTCCCAATCAATATGGCAGTGTGTCAAAACCAATAGTACCCCTGTAGTTCACATCAAAATAGCTGGGATTTATGGATGTTCATCCCCCTGAAAATGGTATTAATAGGTATTGATCCATACCCATATGACTTCTCTATGTGACTTATGATAAAAATTGATAAACTATAATTTACCCAGAATATATGGAAAAATAAAAGCCATTCCAAACCACCAAGCAGCATTATTCCACGATCTTCCGTCAAAACCCCAAGGGCACTCCACCCCCAACTTCTGCAGCAGCTCCAGGACCGACGCGCCCTCTTCCGCGGACCGCTCCTCGGTTCCCATGGGGAAAAGCTTGGAGAAACCCAGGGAAAATGCCTGGAAGATATGGAAAAATGTGAGAAACATGTGGGAAAATCATGATTTGAGAAAAGAAGAAAGGATATGAGTAGCGGACAAAATTATATGTTAAATTTAATGCCATGTACAAATTAGGGTCGTCCCCTATCGGTTGTGAGAATTTCAGTATTCCCGGAAGTATCACAAATGGGGTATCGGTATAGGCTTATAGGGTCGTCCCCTATCGGTTATGAAGGTTTTGTGCAACCTCGGAAAGGCCAAGGCGAAGCAAGACTAAATTAGTATTACAATAATTTTGTCGGTTACTCATATGGCAGCTCGACATTGTTGACTTCAAACAAAAGTTGCCATAGTCCTACTGCAAATGACTTTGTAGGTCCGGTTGATACCCTCTGTGGGAGGGATAACGACATGGGAAGTACTTGTTTTCAGGATGATTGTCCAGAAGAAGAAAAGACATGAAAAGACTGTTGTTGTTGCTCGCGCAGCAACGGCCCCGTTCCTATTGACTGTTTAACACACCAATAAGGCCTAGCCACACGGACGCAAGGCGTATTCTGGAAGGATTGTCATGAGGATGTTGACATATAAGACTCTGATAAGATTCAATGATAACCCTACCATTTGGAGATGGTTTGAATCCCACCCATTTTTGGTAATATTGGGAAGAGCTTATGGCATTGGGTGAATCCCACATTTTATTAAAGGGCATGGGTCAAAACACCATTACCCTGGTGCACACCCAAAATAGTTGCTAAATAAATGTTATATAGTGCGTCCCAATAAATAGGGTATCAATGGGTATCATACGTTTGACACATCCCCGCAATTCCCCACATAGAATCCTTGAGCAGCAAATCAGTCATTCGACATGGCCAAACCTACTATTCCCTCAATTATTGAAACCAGAAAACCATAAAGTACAACGGTGAACTTGATCGGTCTGATCCTCATATGTTGGTCATGAGGGATTACATGAGATCACTATTGATGTTGATGATACACATTCTTTCTGTATATGTTTGTGTCAAACTCCCAGGTTTGTTGATGCATATCACCAGTTCTTGCTGGTTCGATCGTCCGCGGAAAAACCACATATTCCGCCATATGGGGATGCGCTCATCCCTATGAGACCATTTCTAGGGGGATGAGCATCCAGAACTACCAGCTATCTCAGAACTATGTTGCATTATTCTGTCCTGCTGCGAAAACCAACGGAAAATCCAGGGTGAACGACCCACAGGGCCGAGCTTCCGTCCAAATGGCCACATGATGGCCTTGTTTCTTCAAGGCTCGGCAGAGGCGTAGATTCCGCTCAATGCTCTTGCCGTTCCTTGGCGCATTGGCTGCACACCATGAGAACGGACCGGACTCGAGAAATCAACTTGTTGAAAATGATGCCATCCACATTTCGGATTATCTATTTGCTACAAACCCTGGTTTCATCTTGGGTCTGTAATCATTTTACCGGCTTCCATTTAGAAGAATTTAGGGGGATGAGATTACAACATATTTCCCCTGTTTGGAGCCCGTTGAAGGGTGCCAATGGTGAGCCACTTCACCTGTTGGACCTCCGAAAAAGATCATCTTGGATCATGCCACATCATGGGAGGAAATGATCTATCTGGACTTACCCTCTGGCAATTTAACATAGCTATTGAAAATGGCCATAGAAATAGTGAGTTTTCCCATTAAAAATGGTGGATCTTTCCATAGTTATGTGACAGTTTACCAGAGGGTATTTGAAACCACCAACCAGTTGGAACCAGTTGGAACCAGTTGGACCAAGACTCTCGGTGATCAGAGTACCTGGGCATAGCAACAGGATCTGTGAAGCAGCTCCCCAGGCAACACGCATAGCTTGTGATGTCTCATCCAGTGATGTTATCGGGAAAAATGGAGGTTCGGGATGGTTTCTGTAGCATTTGCATCCAATTACTGTGAGTAACGTCTGGCAAGCCTGGTAGAACTGGCGTGTTGCCCGCGTCGCCGGCTCACGAGTACCAAGTTGCATTCCACCAACATGGCCCATGTTGAATGGCAAAATATTGCAAGACAAGTAAATCAACAAACATTGGGGCTTGGGGATATGGAAATTTCCATAGTACAGTACATCCCCTATGAATAAACAAACTTTGGGGATGTATCATAAAAAAAAAGCTTGGACTAGAAACTCTAGGGGAGCACCATCGCAAGCATTCATGTCCAATTGTAGGGTCGATCCACCGCGAGGTGGGATGAAATTCCATCCAGATCTGAGACTCCTCGACTCGTGATTTCAACATGAATCTCATCATCGTCACTACCCTCTGGTAAACAGCCACATAGCTATTGAAAATGGCCATTGAAATAGTTGATTTACCCATTCAAAATGGTGGATCTTTCCATAGTTACGAGTATGTTGGTTACCATCCCCCATGATCCCCTAGCCGAGGTGCCGTGTAGATCCTGGCAGGGGGAACAGATAAAAAAACATCTGGCATGTCACCACACCGAACCGGAGCTCACAAGTTGCCGAAATGGCCAGATCATTCACCTGGAAATGTCACCCATGTTTGGTGCTTCAAAGCCCCATTCTCCATGGCGAAATCCACAAAGAACAACATGCTTCGAACCCTCGATGCGGAGTCAAGATCCGTCCTTTCGGCCTATGTAAACTTTCACCGTTGGGGTCCCCATTTTCAGTCGAGCTTCAAAGACGAATCGCATCTTTGGCTGATTCGGCCACTTGGCACACCACTCTGCAACCTGCGAAGCAAGCACAGTAGGGATGGGCGAAATGGCTGAAACCATGGAATATCCACATGATCTCATACAGTGAACTTAGATGCAGGACACTGTCAGACATCTACATGTATAGCATGTTCAGAAGTCCTATAGATCTAACAGATTTATTTATGTTTCCTCATGGCCAGAAGGACGTATTACCACCTGACAGGCCTAGCATGTTGAGCATGTCTGGATCTGGGCTTTGACCATCAAACTGATTCCAAACTCGCAGATCACGGGCATCTCTGGGGACTGTCTACCTAATCATTTATAGCCTATGTCTGTGTCTAGTATCTATCCAAAAATGAAAATATATATGTGTCGATCTATCCATCTAACATCATCTAAGTACATGTCTATCCAGTTTCTGTTGATTGCCCTCGTTCTCTCTCTCCATCGATTTTTGTTTAACAAAAGTCAGCAACAACACTGCCCCGTCCAACCACCGCCACCACAGCCACCACCCTGTCATGCCGCCTGGGTAGGGGTTCCCAGAACATGGAAGTCCTGCCGTTCCAACTTGAGGCCGCGGAAGGGCGCGCCTTTGCTGATCATGGCCTCGCTAGCGTTGTGAGATTCCCTGGATGAGATGCCCTTAACGTTCCATTTGTCAGGGATTTCCTGCCATGGATTACCAGAGCCTTAAGGGTTTCTTGTTAATGACTTGTGTAGGTTTTGGAGAAACCATAAAGAACCGTTTTTGTCGGGGGTACCATCATGCTGAGTGGTTTTGCGGTGGGAAAACTGTCAACTTTGCATACTTTTGGGGTTATACAGTTATACCGTATACCTCTATACCACTTAAGAGCTGGAGTGGAACTATAGAAACTAGACACTTGGGTATTTTCATGTTTTTTTTATGGATACACCAAGCTGGTTGATGTTGCTTCCTCCCCAGCCCAAATGGCAGTGACTGCTGGTTAAACCAAGCCGCAAAAGTGTGGATCTAAGCAGGGTTGCCAACAAAAACCCAACAAAAGATGACTTGTTGTGGGATGAATTACAATAACTGCTCTCCTTTCACCCCGAAAATTTCTGTTGCGATGAAGGCGGAACTAGATTCCTCCATGCCCAGTGGCAGCAATGACACCGGAGGTGTAGAATTCACCCTTCTGATCCTGGCTCATCCCATTGCAGAAAGATGCTTAGCCGGCTTAGCCAAGAAACAGAGGGGGGGTTGAGGAAGCTGAAGTTAAAACATCCTGAGCAAACATTTGATACATGCTAATACATGCTAATACTATCTCTATATAATTCAGTATAATTCTATATCATGCTTGTTCTTGTTCGTCAAAATCATTCAAAACCCAAATTCTAAGTGGGAAGCTGCCGCCGAAAAGCAGGGACTGCTAACCGGCAGTTCTTAACCTTTTACTGTACCAAGTACGGAAGGTCATCTCTTTAGACCCTGGAACTGGCCAGAAGTGGGGCCTTTCATCCCAAAGGTTAGCAGCTGGAATGGGGATCCTGTTGGATACAGCCATCTTGACCCCCAAGAAGAGAGGGGTTGGAGAAGGATTTTGCATGATTTTGCGGCAGGATTTCATGAATTTTGGATGGATCTATCCCGGCCACGGCACGGTCCCCATGCCCTAGGCCCGCCTGACTTAGCTGCGTCTCGCCACGTTTGATCAGCTCTTGACCTTGGCTTTTGAGACTCTCCCTATCCACATGACAAGGGACTTACAAACAGATCCAACAGTGGGTTTGAAGTCACACTTGGTGAGTGCCAACCCCAGAACATCCCAGAACCACAGTTCCTCGGCGAGCAGATAATCCCACAAAGATAACTACAGGGTTTGGCTTCTTCCCACCAATGAAGGCTTCAACAGGTAAATGATCTACCAATGTAATTAGTCTACACATGGGGGATGTTCAATTGCTACAAGTGGGCTTAATTAACCCCATTTCAACATCTCAAGGATCTTCCAAAGTCCCAACAATAGATGTCTCTTCACAAGAATGCACACCTTAACCAAAGTCCCAACCATGCACCCGAATGAATGGGGATACGACCAACCAGAACTTTGATCAGAATGTTGGTTAGTTGGTTCCCAAAAAAAACCTGGTTTAACCAGCAAAAGCAGCAGACAAAATGGAGGCTGACGGTTGAACCGGCCGAGATTTTTTGGCGTTCGCATGCTTTAACCAGCATAAAATAGAGGTCGTCCCAGACCTCAACGACGTTATGAGTGCGCGCTTTGAATGGTGGGTTTATCTGAGTCTGAAAATAGGGTATTCAGACACACCCACCTTACATAGCCAAAAATATTCTCCGTGTTGTTAAAATCCACCAATATCCTTTAGAGCCTCAAAACCATTGACCCTCAAGGATCCCCTTGCGCCAAGTGGCACTCCTTCTCCAACTCTTGACCGTCTCTGAAGCAATAGCAGCCTCATCAGGGTAAACAGACGTAAACAGATCCACAGAGATTTGCGGCCAGAACATGGGGACAGAACATGGCTAGCACTTTTGGGCAGATCGCACCTGTGTTGGCCCAATCGCTGATCTTGATCTTCTCCTCAGTGCGGTGCTGAACGGGACCTCTTTTTTCTCATGGAGATCAAGATCACGGAGCCTCTGCACAGAGAGGACTTCACATTTCACTGACACCAATGTGACACCAAGGAGAGTTGGGAGATTTGGAGATGTCCAAAAAAAGTCGTCCCCCACAGTCGTGAAATGTCATGAATTTACCAACTGCACAGAAGTTTCCCATGTGGATCCATGTTTCGGATGGCTTGATACCACTTCAAACCTCCAGTGCAGCTGAGGCACCTTCACTTCCTTGATGTTGTCTGCAGCATCCATGGTGATGTAACCTCAACGCGGTGATTTTGGGGGGCGTTCCCCACAGCCCGGGACACCCCAATCTATCATGTACGTCCAATGATTCTGCGTACAGTAGGTGAGTCATGGCAGTCCAAATCAGAGAGGATGCTCCTTGAGGCACAAAAACGATGCTTCTATCCTGACTGGTTGGTGGTTGACCTACCCCTCTGAAAAATTATGGAGTTCGTCAGTTGGGATGATGACATTCCCAATATGATGGGAAGGTCATAATCCAGCCATGTTCCAGTCACCACCAACCAGCTCATGTTTCCAACTTGGGCATCAAAATGTGAGCCTTCCACCCCATGTCCCAACGTCCCAACACCTTCCCCGCTTCCTAATCCCAGCTACTGTACATGGGTTTGGGTTGCGTGTCCTTGAAGCAAAAAACCGCATTGTGGGTCTTCGCCTTGGGCATCCCAGGACGTGGCGGTGTGGAAGCTTCTATCTTGTGGCTTTAAACATGTTCAAAACCCATAAACAATCCTGCTTCATCATGTTCACCCTGGAAGTTTAGTACATTTATGTAAATTTGCGTCAATTTGAGAGTCTGTTGGGTATGACTGGCGCCAATTGCCCCTTGGAACAGGCGTTCTGTTGGCTCTGTGAAACTCAGACCCAACAGGTACCACTCTTAACAGCCGAGAAGCTACGTCTCGGAAACGTTGGACGACATCGGCAGTGTAGAAAGTATCACCGTCCTTGGACACATGGGATTTTACCCTCTGGTTATGTCAAAATAGCTATTGAAAATGGCCACTTATAGTGGATTTATCTATGAAAAATGGTGATTTTCAATAGCTATGTTAGTTTACTGGAGGGTATACCCACAGATCATGGGATTCTGGGCTCAAACCGACCAAACATTGATAAACATTGTAGCCTGGGTCTTAAGTTTCAGCCACCATACCGAACTCAATCACTGAAACCACATTAGAAACAGCCACTAGTTTTGGACTCTAAATTGGCCATTGGTTGTGGATCCATCAACACTTGTCTGGCTGTGATTCTGAGTATTTCTAAGTGCACCTCTAGTCCCCGCTCCCCCAAAACCATTGGCAGGCAGTTCTGGGGTCTAAGAGCTTCACCATCAATGGTCAGCAGAAATTTGTCAAACACAAACCATTTTGTTTCTGGATAATGTCAATCCATCAAGTTGACAGCTTTCCAAGATCACTCATCAACTATACCTATGGGTCTTGGCCGTGAATTGGCAGATTTACGGGCAAAATCCACCTGGTCTTGGGAAACATCCCCCAAGTTTGTTGTTCAAAACCCAATTCCGGAGTCTTTTCTCATTTGGATAACCCCTGGATGGACCATTGAAAAACAATGTCGTTTCACCAAAAACAACGGTTCGCTCCCCTCTCAGCCAAAGTCTCTGCCAGCAAGGTGGGTCGCTTCAGCATCTCCTTCGGGAAGCGGTGCTGGATCATCCGTTTAAAATCCCCTTTCATTATTTACAGAAACATTTAATTAAAAATAAAAACAAAACCCAACAAAAAGAAAGGTAGGCCCTTCATCTGCCCCAACCCAGGGCACCCTGCCCCCCACCACCCCACCGCTCCGGTGGCAGCGACTTCAAGCCGATCAGCACTGTCTCTGCCGCGCCGCGCGTGGGGCCCGGAAGTTTCACCAACCTGCGGGGGACGCTTGGCGCCCAAAATGGGAGATGTTCAACTTGTTCAACTTCTTCAACTTGTTCAACTTGTTCAACTTGTTCAACTTGTTCAACTTGTTCAACTTGTTCAACCATCAAAAAGTGGGGATTCCAGCATCAACATGTGGGATTGAATCTGTGGTATACCACTTGCAAGTGCAGGTTCATGTCGATAGGTGGCATCAACATACATCACATGCTCATGGCCAACCTTCCACTCCATCCCAAAAATATCCAGCTAAGGATCTTATGGGCTACTAACCTGTTGCAACCATGGGAACTCTGAGGTAACTGAGTTGACTAAGGTCCTAACCCACAACTTCCAGCCATCTCTGACCTGCCTGATTCTGGGATCTCGATCTGCCAGTTGTTCCTGCCTGGGGCATGGCCCCATCATGCCCGGCATAAAGATGCACAAAGAAGTGGGTCATTAGGTTTTGGGATTCCTCGAAAATCTCGAAACTTTGAGATTTGTCTATTTTGAGTGGGTTGATTCGATCCGCAATACCCAAATATACCCGATACCCCAAAAAGGTGGCTCTGCTTGACACGCACTGCATTCGCAACACATCGCGTGTCAGGCCTTTTCAAACTTTCGAAAGCCAATCACAAGACTTCAGAATTCTGGACCAAAGGGGAAATGTGCGCCAACATGGCTACACATGTGCAAACTGGATTAAGAATGCTGAGCTGTCCCCACCAGAAGCTGGATTCTGGATAGCCCAGTGTGCCAATGAACCAGCTTCCCCCATCCTTTGGTGGTGGTTCCCGCAGCAAAAAATCTCCAGCCGCGTGACATGAAGTTGTCCATGCTCATCCAATTGGGATTGTAGATCACCACCAAGGCGTCGTCCGCTGCCAGCGACAAGTTGTCCACCACCCAGCGGATCATGGGTTTGCCTTGGCAACAAATCCGCATGGGGGGACCCCCAGTTCTCATCCAGTCGTCATGGATGATCAGGACTTAGCATTGAAAGAAATCATGGTGACTTGGGGATCTTCCATTTATTGAAGATGTTTTATGAACCCCCCCCATATGACTTCAATTGGAATCTCAATTGAACTCCCCAGATCTCTAGGCACGACCCGCCGGAGACACCAAGGTACCCAGTACCGGGATGAAGGGCTTGGGTCTTTGCAAGTACCCCTCCGTCTGGAACCGGCTGCCAACACCACCCAAGGGAATCACCACGTTCCTGAGGGATGGGCCAAGCTTCTGCCGGGAGGGATGGGCCTTATTCATGCCTTGATGTTCAGTGAAAAAGGCTCTTTTCTACGCTCTTCGCCCAATCCCCGTTAACATCTATAGTGTATGAAGTTGAGACATGTAGTTACCCGTAAAACCCTATCACATCAGCCGATGGCTGTTTTTCTAGGTTTTTGTTCTTGTTCCGGGCTGGCAGGCCCACAGGTGTCTGCAAGTTGAAAGTTGACCAAATTTGCTGTTTTCTTCGGCAGTTCTCAAATCTTCAGTGGCAATTTCAGTAGCATCGCCGCCAAGTCTCATCTTCTCAACCCAAATTGGAAGAGCAAGTTATTGCTGCGTGCGGACGGGCTCAACCCTCTATGGCGAGGGGAATGGGGAATGGAAATACAAGAGACCTGGTGCTTAAGTTCAACACATTCAACACGATCATTTTGCCCGTGGTTCTTGAAATAATGGTCTAAAATCATTCAATGTTGCGCTTTGGAAGTTCCATCTGGATCAAACTGCCTCCGGAAAACTCCGGCTGAGCCAGGAAACCAGGCAAGGCCATAGGGCCATAGGGTACCCCAAACTTGGATAGTCATGTGATTCTTCAAAGATGATATGGCAGTGTGTCAAAACCTTGTACCCCTGGTGAACATCAAAATAGCTGGGATTCATGGATGTTCATCCCCCTAAAAATGGTATTAATAGTATTGATCCATACCCATATGAAAGGATAGTCATGCCATGGGGGACGAAAAAGTGGAAAATGTGGAGCTGGCTACCGCGAGAAAGCCTCACAAAAAGGGAAATGGCCGAGACTCGGAAACCATTGGATCTTCACCAACTGCATTGGTATCAGACAAGCAAAATTCAGGATACAATGGGAGTTGGCAACCAGTCACCCAAAGAGTGTACCGATGTAAAAAAGCAGTGATTTCCGCACCACCTTCACAGGCCTTCGGCTCCCGGACCCCACAGCAACGGAGCGAAGATCCCTGGCGACGGCCGCTTGGATTCACTTGGCAGAACCTCTCAGAATGGCCGTGGATTCAGATGGACCCCAGGCTACACGGTCAAATCATCCTTGATGACTCCAGGTTCCAGCTATTTCCAACCTTCCATTCCCAGATTCTTTTGATTTCTTTTGGACCATGTCAACCTTTGAAGATCCCCCCCACCTTCCAGTTGCGGCTTCTTGCGCGCGAGACGCGCCTGGCCACACAGATCCAGGGCTGGAAACTCAGCAAGTCGTGGAGATGTCATTTGGGGTTCAACAGTTGGAATATTGTTGGATGGTTCAATCTCCAAAACGACTCCACTTGTGTCGTGGTTTGATCTTGTCATCCAAAAAACAGAGGATCATAGAACATCATATAACTACCCTACTGTACAGAGGGATACTGAGGGCTGTAGCCCCCGACCTTTTCCCCTCCACACCCCCCTGGCCGTGCTCTTCGCCAGATCGTCAAAGGCTTCGAAGGTCAAAGCACAGGCCACCTGAGACAACAGAAGTTCATCAAAAATGGGCACTTTGAAGCAACGAACATGATGGGAACTGCAAATTTACCCTCTGGTAAACTAACATAGCTATTGAACATTGCCCATTTATAGTGGATTTACCCATTAAAAATTGTGATGTTCCATAGTTACGTTAGTTTACCAGAGGGTAAATAGGGTAATGGGATTGTTGGATTTAGCAAAGTTCATGGACGATCATGAGATATCATGAGTGTTTGACAAACAATCCATGCGTCTCAATCTCAAGAGCTTCTCAACCATCACCGGTTGAGTCCATGTGCCCGCATATCATGCTAGTTCAACCTATGGGACCTTTCAACCCCAAAAAAACTTTGCCATCTCTTGGTCTTGATCCATCTTTCTTTGGGATGATCTCCATTTTCAACCCAAGTTTATCCACCTTTCCCCAAAATTAACCCATGTGTTAATCCACCTTTTACATCCTTTTAGCATTTTTGCCAGTCCCAAAGAGGTTGAAATGTGACCCACTGGTAACGACTCGTCGCCTGGCAGCCCTCCTCCTTGGACACCGCCGGCAGCTCGGAGAGGAGTCCACGAAGAGCCTGGCAAAAAGGGCGCACGGCCAGGGTCCCTAGGAACGCCCTTAGGCCCTTATTTCAAGTTCATTCCACATGTAGAACATGTGTGGTGTTTCCCTTTTCTATCCGAAAGATTGCACTGTGTTCCATTTAGGATTGGGATTATCGTCATTTTTCCACTTAAACTTGCTTTTTTGGGCTATACTCCATGGTTGAAGAAACCCATGGAAGGAGCTTCGGTGCCCCAACGTGCCCCGGCCTGCAACACCGGATCTTCCGCATCAGCGCAAGGCGCTCGATTGCCTCGTCTCAGACCCTCAGCCGCCGTGGTAGCTGCGGCCTCAGCTGGGTGACTTTGGGATACGTAGCGAAGCGCAATCTGGGGTTGCTCCCAACACCCCAAAACATAATGGTGGGAAACTGGGTACATGAAGAGGTAAAATGACCACTTCCACATCCCCATTCTGCCTAACTATCATTGACCAATTCGTTTTCGATATATAATGGGTTGGAGCATGTTGGAGCAACCATGACAATAGTGAGACAAAATTGGGTAGATGGTTTCTTGGGGTTACCACACTACTAGCTTAGTCAATTCTCATGACATATCATACTGCTGGATTCTCGCAAGCTCTTCACGAATGCTACGTTCACTGAGACAGAACAGCCAATACGTTGGTTTCCTTTTCCCATTGGTCCCAATCATGTAGGATCTACTGAGCCAAGCTGGTTGGAAAGGTCTCACCTGGCGATTCACATCAATCAGTGCCAACCATGCTCCGAGTTTCTGAGGCACAAATCCCCCCTCCAGAATGTACTTGAATGTGCTGGAAGGAGTTGGCAGGTGGTATTCACAGTGGCTAGTTCACACATCCTTTACAAATGGATATCTTATTGCGAAAAATAAGAATGCTACCCCAGTTGTTCATCCTTACAAATTGTCACAATGGACTTATTGACCACCTACTCCCTATGGGAAACCATCGCTTTCCCCGGGTGGCTGCCCTGATCCCCGCAAAGCTCCGGGCCAAGCGCAAGGTCTCCAAGCGGATGGGAACCAAACCGCCAAGGACCTCTGCAGGCGCTTTGGGGCAGAAATGTGGTGATCAAAAACTAAAGATGCCTAGAAGATGCTAGAAGTACCGTACCGTGATTCTATTGAGCTTTATATATATATATAATTATATATATATATTTAAGCTAGCCATTGTTTTGACGCAGCCGATTTGGGTAATCAAGGTTGGGGTGAACCGGAGCAAAACAGTTGCTCTTCTTTTTACATTATTTAGGGGTTTCACCCCATGGACCACACCCGGGGGTGGACATGCCATGGCATGGTAACATCCCCAACCTGCCCAGGGTTAGGGAAAGGGGGGGAGAGAAAGCACTGCGGAACAATTACGCATAAACTGTCGTACAACTGGTCAAGACCATTTGATAACTCCTCTTTTTAAGCTAGCCATTGTTTTGACGCAGCCGATTTGGGTAATCAAGGTTGGGGTGAACCGGAGCAAAACAGTTGCTCTTCTTTTTACATTATTTAGGGGTTTCACCCCATGGACCACACCCGGGGGTGGACATGCCATGGCATGGTAACATCCCCAACCTGCCCAATCAGCTCTGGAAAAAATGGGACCCAACAACAGCATGAAAAACAACTCCCCATAGGGAAATAAAGAAAAGGGCCTGGCTCAAGAGCATACACGGCCCGGGCAGCTTGGCTCAAGAGCCCCCCAACCTGCCCAAAGAAAAGGGCCTGGCTCAAGAGCATACACGGCCCGGGCAGCTTGGCTCAAGAGCCCCCCAACCTGCCCAATTTTTTCACTTGGCGTAGCTAATTGTTAATCAGGCGTGGCCAAAAGCTATTATAGCGCCACATTGCCTGTCGAAGCCCTTCAGGAAGGTTCATCTTTAGGAGCGACGCACGAGCATCGTCCAAATAAATTCTTGCAGTTCGTTGGTCTCTCCACCTCCCCTGAATTATGACTAGATCCAAGCTACGAGAACAGACGTAGGCATGAGTTGCTCCGCCTCGTCGCAAGCTGTACACCGTGAAACCACATGAATTAGCATGACAGTGGCCTATTATGGCATTAAAGCACAACCGGAATCCCCTTGGGGAAAAGCGCCACAAGGGCCCTGGAGCAAGGTGCGCAAGCAGATGCACCACGATTTTTGCCAATCCGGAGTGCTGAAGGGCCACCGTCTGCTGATGATTGCGTGCAGTCTTGGTCTTCGCCAAGGTCAAAATAATGGTATCGGAACGCCGATCCACGTGCACATCAGTGGTCTTGAGTGCGACCAACTCCATTGTACGGAGGTAGAAGGCATAGCCCAGGAGGAGGAGCAACGAAAGGTCGTGATGGCCCCCCTCATAGGCAGCTGCTGCCAGGGTCTTGGCTACCCCCCAAGGCATTGGAACGGCCCGAAAGGGCACGTGGTCACGAACCTAGTTGTTATAATACTGCTGGGCCGTTACCAGATCTCGCCGTAGCGAAGGCAGGAACCTTTTGAACCCGCTCAATAGCCATCCGGCATGTGAAACTGCTTCACCTTCCTGGTAAAGCTCATTGATGAATTCTCCCATGCATTCGTCGAGCTCAACCACATTGATGGGCAGCCGGCCCAATTCTGCCGTGGCATAGTCCAGGAAGCGTTGGACTTCACGTCTATAGAGTGCTACTGTCTTTGGTGTGATTCCCTTGAAACGAAGATGCAATTTTGGAGGCATCACGGCGGTGTCTTGGCCTCATACTTTCTGGAGGCCCCATCTGAGAAGTTCCATTTCGAAAGGGTCCACACCATCAGGGGTCGAAGAGACGTGGCGATCTCGACCGACATGATTCGACGTAGCACTCTGTTTAGACGTGTCGATCCTGAGCGTCCTTTGCTCATGGCATAGTAACACACCATGCTGTCAATGACATTGATGTACCTCTTTCTGAATTGGCCGCTGTCCCGAGATCGTCTCCTCAGCTCTGTCAGGATCGCAGTCATCTCCAGCACATTGATATGCTGAGGCGTCCCCCAGCGATATGCTAACACATTCCTCCAAAACCACTTGAACGCGGGGTACGGCGTAAGAACCTCACGGCCACTGCCTTCTTCTTTCGTTGCCACCAGTCTGACGTCAGTTCCTCGCAGGCCGACACTCCTGGCCAAGCCGGCCAGGTGTTGTTTCTCGAACCCTGGCTCCATCTGCCTTAGCATTTTCTCCACATCCACCACCAGCTTGTATACCAGGTCTTCACTTTGGAGCCCACGAGTGGATCCCATGATCTGATTGTACAGCATGTGGCCCATGTCCAGCTTCGCTGTTCCAATCGGCGGGACCACCAGATCCTTCAAGTCCGCGACAATTGCCTCTGCGTATGCCAGGCACATCCTCCAGGGATACTCCGATTCCTGGGCGGTGTCGAACTCCAGCCCTTGGGGCGTCTCACGGACCTCATAAGCTTGTTGGTGGGTGCAATGGCATTCCGGCTTGTGGAGGGCCAAGTGAACCCGCCTTGAGTTGTTCAAAAGGGATGTCCACTTGGTGCGGCGGCCCCCAAAGCAGCATTGTGACCACACCGTCGTGTGGAACCCCGGTCGTGACCGGATCCTCTCTGCCTCCTCGGTGTACCAGAGGTAGGACTCATACGGGTGTTCCAAACCCGCGAAGCCTCCCTATCGATCAGCTTCTTCGAGGCCTCTCAGGCTCCTTTTTGCCATCTTGTTATCCTGCCTCACTTTCACCTGATCGTTCTTTCCAACCCGGTCCAGCCCCCAGGGTTGTGCCTCGGATCTGACCCGGGCTGGTCCTTTGATCTTGCCTTTCCCTTTGAGGTTGATCGGCCTGCCGCGAGCTCTTGAAAACGTCCGGCAATTGGGCCCCCAGTGTCGCCATCTCAGTGCTGGATCCTCCTCCAAGTGCTCTAAGGCCTTCCGGCCGGGCTCCGAAAAGAAATCCCAGGAGTTGTCTGACACCAAAATGTCAAGTGGGCGCTGCACTGCACCTCCTTGGAGTGCTACCGCCTTTGTCAGCGGATAGTTCGGGCCGCAAAACCTTTCCCCAAAACGAGGGACAGAAACACCCATCCGTACGCAGGGCCCAAACTCGAAGTGAGACTGTGCACATCTCACAGAGCATCCAAAGGCCCCACAATCCCTTGGGCAGGGGTACTTGACCCGACCAGGCTCTGACTCCAGCTCCTGGGAACACATGGCACAGGTGCCCTTTTCCTCCATCGCCGGCGGTACCTCCAGCCCTCTGTCCTTGAAGGCGGACGCCGTGGCGCATCCCCCGCCCGTAGGCGACGCATCAGTGCAGGAAATTGTCCCTGACACCTGGCACCTGAGATTCGATTCAGCATGCACCGCCAGGATCATAAAGCTGAGTATCTCTTGACATCAGCCTTTACGCTGTCATTGATGCATGGGAAGACCAACTCCAAAATGGCGAATAGTGGCCTCCTGAAGGCAGCAACAAACGCCGCCTTCCCAGTCCAATGCCTGATGTGGAACTCCTTCCAGTTTTCCGATTGCAGCATACCTAGGGAGATGGCCACAAAGCTCAGGAGCTTGTCCTTTGCTACTTTCAGGACACCTGTTCTTCCATCCAGCTCCCCCCCCTGGATACCCCCCGTAAGGGACATGATCAGCTGCTTCGCCCGGTTCCTCGACAGGCCCAGTTCATCGCACACCTCATTGAATCGCTGGTGGGCTGGCGAGGCACGTCCCAGCTCCAGCTCACTGCCAAATTTTCGAACCTTCCTCAGTTCATCAAAGTTGTCCAAGTACACCACGGTCATCTCATTCGTATCCGGAAGCGGGAGCCCCTTTTCGACAGAAGTTGTCCTCGGGACTCCACAGCGTGTGAACACAATGTTCCTGACCGCTGCTTGAATAAGGGCCACCGCAGAGTGCCAACCCATTGGTACTACAGCCAGGGCTGGTCGCACTTCGTGGCCCTTCGTTCCTCCAAAGGCACTGGCGCAGACTTTCTTCGAGAAGGCAAAGTGTGGGAGCCAGGACTCCGGCACCGCAAACAAGTTGAAAGCCGATGTAAAATCTTCTGACTCCATATAGAGATCGGTTTCCTCCTCCAGGACGACACCTGTGAGTTGGCCCACGTAGGGCAATGAGTCCTGCTCACCAGTAAGTTGCACCGAGTGCTCATTGGTTGGGATGAGCACCGAAATGAACCGTTGGACTTCAACGACCTGGCCCCCCACTTCCTTCCTTTTAGCAACTGCACCAGCTCCGTTCGTGATGTAGTGACCATTGCGGTCTTTGTGAAGCTCACTGTCGGCCATGGGTCTCATCATGTTTCTTGCATGTGCTGCCTTGCAGATCTTGTACCATACCTCATCCGTGGCGCGGACGCGAGACCTCGTCCTCTTGAGGGGCATCCTGTCATCCTGGAGCCACCACCCCGTAGGGTCGCTCACCGTTGTTAGCACTTCACCTTCCAGGAACTCTGTGATGAGCTTCACTCCCGCCGATCCTTCCGCTGGCCAAGCTGCTATAACCTTCTCCGCATCTAGGTCCTGCATGTGCTCAATGGGGCTCCCCATGTAGTCAAACTTCTTGCTGCTGAGAAGCTCCTTCACTTTTGGCGTCGGCGGAAGCTGATCAGCCACCATGATGTTCCTATCTATGGTCTGGGCCAGGATCTCAATGGCCTCCTCCTGGTTCGGCGATAGTCCTGGGTCCATGGGGACGCAGATAGGCTTTGTCCATCCACAACAGTAGAAGTAGTCCAGCATCATCACCGTCGCCTGGACCCAGTGGAGGTTTTCCGCATTGACACCTCTCAGCCCTGTTTTCACTGCCGATGGGTGGATGGGTAACACATCACCACGCCTTTGTCGGGTTGGCCTCGAGGCCGGAGGCGGCTGCGTCGACGCATACCGGCGTGAAAAGTCCCCCATCGGCCCGTCCATCGTTAGGATGAGGTCCAAGAGGTGGCGGCCAACACTCCCGTAGGAGACCTGTTTGGTGAGCAGTCCTCGGACTTGGCTCTGCCACCTTTCTATGCTGTAAGGCTGGATCTTACCCTCCTCCAATTTCGGCCTCAAATTGGGCCTTCCTTCCTCATCAGAGTTTCCAATGCCATTCAGCTCTTCCTCGGCCCAGTCCTCCCCTTCAGTGAGGGTCACGCCACGGGAGGCTTGTCTTTTGATGGGGCCTTTGCCTCTGTCTCCCTTCTTGCCCCCCTTCCATTTGCCTTTCCCTGGCTGGGCTTTTACGTCTTCGGTCGACTGGGTCTCTCCTTTTGGACCTCCTCTCTGGCCCATGAGCCACTTTCTCATTTTTGCTTCCATCAGCTGCTCCTTCGAAGCCATCCTCTGCTCCTCGGCGTCCGCCAGGCCTGCTGTCTCCAGGGGGAAAAGATGCCGCTGCGCCTACAGCGCGAGATGAGGACGCTAGCCCAGGCACTGGACTACCTGGGGGCCGGGGAGATGGAGAGATGCGCGGACCTGGTGGCGCAAAGATTGAAGGCGCTGGAACTGACCATTCACGACCAGCGATGGTCCCGCGCACAATTTTTGGAACTCTTTGTGCTGCGGATACAGCACCGTGAGGTAGTATTGGACAGCGGCTTGAGGAGTCCTCGTCACGTTGGCGGCCAGGACGCTGTTCATGGGGGCCCCCGTCCGACTGGCAACTTGCGCCATCTTCTGAAGAAGACGGGCTGCCAGCCGGCCTGGCTTGTGGTCCGCGTACTCCATGAGCACCAGTTGCTGGGACTTCTTCTCGGGGACCCCCGCCTGAAAAGACGACTCCTCAGAATCCTCAGAGCTCTCGCTGTCGTCCTTCCGGCCACTGTCACTCCCGTAGGAGACCTTTCTTCCTGCTCCAAAAGGGCCTCTATCAGCTTTCTTTTTGGATCTCCTCGAGGAAGATTTGGCCTTCTTCTCCTTTTTATCCTTCTTTTTCTTTTCTTGTTCTTCTTCTTCAGATTCATCTGTCTCCTCATTTTCTTCTGAATCGTCGGCTTCGTTGCGCCCAAACCATAAAGGCTCCTCGGCAAAGGTCACCCTTGGGCGCTTTGCCTTCTCCTGTTTTGATTTGCTCACCGACTGGCTTCGGAGGGCGCTTCTTCGGCCATGTTGCTTGGCCTCCGTCTCCTTTTTCCGCTTCTTGGTGCCCTTCCTGGCTTGCCCAGCCGGAGCTGTCTCCCTCTTAAGGGCCTCCAACTTTTCCGCCAAGGAACGCGGAGCATCCACCCCAGCCAGGCCAGGATGCCCAGGATCATCCTCGGGACCCTCGTCACTTGGCTCAAAGTCCAAGAGGTCTCGGGCAGGCGTGGCCTTAGCCTTCTGAGCCGCCCCCTTCAGACAGGAGGCCCTGAAAGACTCGAAGTCTCCCTTAGCGGGATCAACCAGCCACCAAGCGGCCACCCGATTCTTGATGTCAAGGGCCGTCACCGTCCTCAAAGAGTCCGATGGTGTCCTCCACCGTGGCCAACACACGCCCTTGGGCAGCTGGCTTGTCATCATACGCGATGAACTCGATCGCGCTCCCAGCCTGGTAAGGCTGGTCAGCCAGGTACCCTGGATTGTGTCCTCCCACAATCCACGGCCCCGGCATCTGCCCCTTAAGGCTTCCTTCCCCGTGGGGAGATGCCGCCCGATTTGGGCTTGAGAGAAAGCACTGCGGAACAATTACGCATAAACCGTCGTACAACTGGTCAAGACCATTTGATAACTCCTCTTTATATATACATTTTGATCCATAGTCATATGTACATTGAACATTGTACCTAGGATACCTATCTGGGAGGTATTGTAGGTTACAACATGTTACATACAGAATCGGCGCCAGCCTTCTTTCCATGGCTTGTCCCACGGGCTCTCAGCTGCCCACGTAGCCGTCCACGATGTCTGATCCGGAGTGACTGCGGGCCACGCCATTGCGGCTACCTGGGCCAGGGGGCCGAATGCAGATCAATATCATCAACAGGTTTGTCACTCCATTTTTTGAAAATGTATATAAAGGTTTCAACAGTTTCAACTCAACCGATAAAACTACTGCAAAATTCAACTCATCTTGTAACTTTAAGATTTCAACTCACCCTAGAACTACAAAATCTACAAAGCACACCCTTGGCCCAGTGGTCTAACCTCCCCAGCAAGGTACATGGACCACCGCCACTTCGCCACTTCCCATCCACCCAGGGTTCCAGGGCTCGCACCGAAACACCCCACGCGGCCCTGTGGCCTCAGCCCAGTCATGAATGTTGTGTCTGTTCTATTCTGTTCTACTGTTTGGCATTAACGAATGGCCAAACAGATCATATATGATCATATGAAAGATCACAATAGATCATGTCTCAACAAATGCAAGTTTTTTTGTCCCAATTGCTATGTCATGAGTCATGCATCATTATCAATGGCTTCAAATGGAGGATCCCCAGGGGCACCTCACTTCAAGTCTTGCCATTTCAAGCGGGTGATTGTAGCTATCATAGTCTTTTGGTCTTCATGCGGGGCTGGGTCATTCTTCAAAACACGTCAACCGATTGATAAACCGAACCATACATACATGGCTCCCCTGTTCCCTGCGGCCCAAATAGCAAGGTGAGCCGGAGCAAGGCGCGGCCCTCCACCGAGGGCAGTGGAGGCTCCAAGGCCTCCCCGCAGGCCTGGGTCGGCAAGACAAGCTGAAAATTGTCGGATGTGGCATACTTTGGGATATTTCGGCACATAACTAACCCAAATATTCAAAACATATTCAAAACGAAGGCAGTTGAGTGTACTTGCGATCCTTAGGCATTGAAGCAACCAATCAATCAAAATTATATGGGGATTCAATCAACCTGGGAATACAACCATCAAGATATGGGCGTCGTTCAAAAACGGACGAGCGATTTTGGGCCGCCTAAATTGTCATTTAGTCTTAAACAATCCAATTTTGATGTTAAACAATCTCGTGGAGAGTACATATTCCACTTTTGGGGAAGGGTAAAAACGGTATTCAGGTTTTAGTCAACAAAAACAACTTGCTACGTAGCTGCAGGCCTTCCAAAATAAAGTTTGAGAACAGACATCCCAAATGACATCTGACAACAATCCATCCTTCCAAATAAGAATGATGTTGGATCTTCAAGCACCCAAACCCTCCCAGAGATACCACAACTTTCCAAACCCCATCTCTCTTCCAGGTCTCCCAACCATTTCGCACAGCTCGCCCCAGGATCGGAAACATTGCGGCACCTGGGTGCTGGCCAAGTGATCTGATTCCACCGTTGGAGAGGGGGTTGTACAAGAGATACTGTTCTATGAGAACCTCACATCACTGCACCATCAAATTGGTCTTGACAACTGACTACAACAAGCAAAATGACGCAGTCACTGTTGACAGCCATCATAGATCAGCAAAGTGGCAAGGGCGTTGAAAAATATTGCCCTGACCCAACACATGCACTTGCTTTTGCCCTAATTACGCCACGCCTGCGCAAGTTTTTCTCTCTCAAAGGAACATGTTCGGCGATACTTTTGTGGAACATTGGCGTCTCATCAAGAAGGACGGCCGCCCAGGAACAGGAAACTGGAGGCTCGAATGATCCCAGCCGAAGCGCCAATGATTGTAGAGAGCATGCTGAAGCCGGAGCTGAAGCGCCCGAGGTGCATTATCTGCTCCTTCTCCTGTTTCCGGTCCTTCTCCAGCTCCATCAGATACTTAGCCTTCTCCAGCTCCATCAGATGCTTAGATTGCATTGATTGCATTATCTCCTTCTCCAGCTCCCTAGATCGCCTGTCTAGAATCCGTTCCTCAATCTTCAACATCTCATCCTCACTCATCGTCCACTCAAACATCACCTGCCCCTCCTTCGCAGTATTATACTGATTGGAATGATAGTGGTTCCGGAGAAGAGACTTAGGACCAGGAGGACGAGGAGACTTAGGAGAAGGAGGGTTGGGAGAAGGAGGATCCGGAGAAGGAAAATCTTCAGGAGGATAAGGAGGAGGATGGACCTGCTCAAAAGTGATTGGCGTCTGTGTCATCTTGTGGTTCTCTGCACTCAAGTGCCTCACCAAAAGAAAAGCAGCCACACTCACTACAAATAGGACTTTGCGAGTCCATCCAGCAACTACCAGAGCAACACTCAGAGCACTCCTGGACGGTATGACTAGCATTTTTTCTTCTCGTGCACCTCGAAGCCACTCCTTCTTGTCGTACCTAGCCCACGTAGCAAAGTGCTGACAGTTGTTCGAAAACAGGTTGTAGCCACGGCCATCAATCGTGGCATTGATGCTGCCGACAGCCCGAGCTACGATTATGCGCGCAGGTAATGGCTCAAGGTAATCCAACCCACACCTCTGCCATTCAACAGAAGAGTTCATCACATTCATGATAATCTGCTTTTTCTTTTCTCTGAAGGAGGTCTGATTGAGGCTGCCGTATTCAACCACATAGTGTTTGAGATGGTTCAAATCCTTAAAACCGAGCTCTTTTAGCAGTGGCGAATCTCCGCGACCTACATAGATTGCTGCATGAATGAATCTCGAGCGACCCAAGTCCAAGTGATAGCAAACCATTGCTCCAACCTCCAAAAGAGGTTGATCAATAATGGGCCTTTCCTCCATAAGAGGCAAAGAGATACAATGAGAGAGGGATTCAGATGGCATCCTGCTTCTCTGCGGCCTGGGCTGAGCAACACAGTGCCCTACAAACACTCTGCGCATCTGCTGACTGCAAAGCAAGACCACAAGCACCAGGAAGAACACGGCGCGTGGCATGCGGAAGACCATGGCAACGCATAGGGAACAAAGGCGCTGCCGGGAAGAAATGCCACACTTTGGCCGTGGAGCCGGGTTGGCCTCCAGCCACAAATGGCCACATGTGGATGCACAGCTCACTGTTCATAAAATTGCTGGGACCCTCTACAGTACAACTTTGGGACATGGTGACATGCCCATACCCATCCTCATTCGAAAAATCTTCCAACTGCCTCCAGCCGAGCACAAAAAAAAAACACTGAGCTCCCCCACACTGGGCCGACCCTTGGCTTCCAAGGCGGCCAGGGAAGCAGCCGCACCTGGAAACAGCATCAGCTGCAAGTGTAGGGTGGCGCGCAGCAAACCCACAATCTCAAGCAGCTTGCAAATGTCTATTTAGGAGGATGGTGGGCTCCACTTCTTCAAAAAACAAAATTGGTCTGAAATGTCCTGCTGTATCTAATCTCCTCTGATCTAGATCCACATCATTTTTTTCCACAAAACTCCGCCATCTCCCAGGGCCACCTCCTGCAGGCAGCCACCCTGAGGCCTCCAGGATTCCACCCATAAACACTTTTGGTGACTTGGGGTGCAAATGATACAGATCCATCCAGCGTTGGCTGTGTTGCGATATTCTTATGGGATATTATCATGGGATATCATGGGGATGAGTGAAAAAAATCGGATGACATAATTTATCATCATTTGAAGGTAAACTGGACCAACTTTGCCATGTACCCACCCGCTTTGTTGTTCACCGGGGGCCCCAGCCATCGCTCCACTGCCCGCAGCCGAAATGCTGGGCGCCAGCACCTGCCCAGAACTTTCCGATCGTCGTGGTCCACGTCCATCCAAGTATTGAATGGCATGTTTACCAACATTTGGCCGATTTTGCTATGTACAAATGTATACAAATGTCACCATTCATGGATGATTTGGGAATCCAAAACTTATACGATCTTATACATGCTTCTACCATGTTGCTGATGGACGTTTACCCACAAAAACAAGACTATTATTGCCACACCGCCTAAATGATTGTTTCTCGCATGTTTGAGCAAAGTTACTTGCCATGTGCAATGATTTTTTCCCAACTTAGTTGCCATTTCCCAATTTCTTGAAACAGAACCGCCGTACCTCTCGCCGCAACTCCAGTTGACCCAGCAAGCCCTGGAAGCGTTGGCAGGGACCTGGGCGGCACGCTGCCCAAATCCCATGCATTTTCCGACTTTTCAGTGCTTCAAAAGGATGGGAAAAGGATTCTATATGAAGAGGTATCTAAAGATTCTAATAGATTCTAACAGATTCTAACAGATTCGAATAGATTCTATCAGATTCTAATAGATTCCAATAGTACTTGAAGTTTGGATCAGTGAAGATCCCCTTTTACCACAGATTGCAGTCTGTTGATATCTGCAACAGAACCAGCCACACCACCCAGGAAGCCACGCCTTCCGTCTCGGAGTCTGCTGAGCCATAAGGATGTTGAAGCCTCTGGGGATGACATGGATCAAGAATGGTCAAGAGGTGTTCCAACTGGTGACGGGGCTGCAATTTGCCAGCAACCACAGACATGATCGCAGAAAATGGGCCCAGTAAGTGGAAGGAGCAGCTGTATACCGTCTGCTGCACCAGCTCAAGACCCTTCAGGATGTAGCCACTCAGCCCAATGCATTGACGAGGGCATTGAATCATTTGGATTTGTTCGACAAAAGCAGAGCCCAAAAAGGGTTGTCCATTCCTGCCCTTCTCAAATAGACCATTTTGGTCCATGTTGGTTTACAGATCTTTATAGATGAATTTCCCATTCAAATCTCCATCTATAGGAGATGTTCCATTGCCCCCGGAATCAAATAGTGATCGCTGTGGAGACATAACTCACCCAATGTGAAACTCCCCCCCTGCTGGCAGATGACATCTCAAAGTCTGTGCTGCTGCTGCTCGCAAAGACCTGGCTCAGACTTTCAAAGGCGTTGCTTCTTGGCACATTGGCAGCATAAACATGGTTCTATGATTCATGATTTTCATGGGTGTACCTATGGGATTCTAACCACCATAAGGGATATAACTTCTATAACTGTATAACCCCTATATCCATGGTTATGTATCCACTTAGTTCACTGGACCTGCACCCCCAGGTCTTTCTGATAAAAACCACCATGCATTTCCTCACCTGGGCACCGCGGAAGACGCCAAAGCTGATCTGCGAGGCCGCACTGGGACGATGGGGATGGATCAAATTGCAGTTAGCTCTGATTCGTACCAAATGATTGGGGTGGATGAACATGATTAACATATATTAACATATATTAACATATATTAACATATATTAAAATGATGAACATCCGGAAATCCCAGCTATTTTTGGTGCGAAAACCTTGGGGGATTCCAGACCCAGAACCAGATGACATCTCCAGGTGAGGGATAAGGAGCGCATCAGCACGCTGGGAAGGCACACACTCTTCAGGAACCTCATTTCGGACGTGTTTGAAATGTGTAATGCGCACAGGTACTATGTTTTGCCTAAAGATAGGATAAACTTTAACGAATGACTGTAATGCAGTCAGTGAACCGAGCAATAAACCACCATTAATCTGTAAAGGGTATAAAAACAAACCAAATAAAAAAGGTAACCCAGTGATATCCATCAATATCCTACTTAATCCATAATCATGATCGCATGCCACATTACATCCCAACATGTAGGTGTGTCTGAAAATGCTAGACCCCAAGTAGTATTTTTCTGTGATTTTAAGAATGAAAATACTCATAAACCGTGGACTTTTGGGGTTGTTTCCCCTACCCTCCGCTACGGTAAACCTTCGCACCCTTCCCTTTTGGAAATGATCAGGAACAAACCACCCCTGCCTCTCGTTGCAGCTCAGGTTTCAAACCTTGCACGTTGAAGTTTGTCCCCAGATGATCCAGAAGAATGTTTGGACCCCACATAGAAAACACATATCCATCGTCATAAAAGTAAATATATAAACATCATGAAAACACATCAGAACAATGGATCCAACAGGCGTAGTAGCATCTCCCACTACCCATCCTTTCCCACGCCTGGTTCCTCCTTGTCAGACCTCAAAAAAGGCGTTCCATGCACACTTTTCAAGTGCGCAAGCAATACTTCTGACCCTCTGATCATTGGTAATCTAACATAGCTATACATAGCTATGGAAAATCAACAGTTTTTATCGGTAAATCATCTATAAATGGGCCAAGTTAAATTGCCTGAGGGATCCGAAGGGTATCCCCTGGCAAAAATGCCTTCCAGTCGTAGAAGCAAAGGTCCCAACGTGGCAGTAGACGGCACCTGTCATGTAGCATCCGAAAGGAGCCCCATCGACCAAGCAAAAAAACGTCAGCATGCATGGGTATGAAGTACAGGTGTTGGTCATTAGGGTTGCAAAGCAAATATCCTGGGGGCACCTAATGTTCACCCATTCCGATGTGACCAGTGAAAGGGGGCACTGAAAGGTGCCCCAAATCCCAAGTTGGTCCGTTTGAGGAGCAGAAAATGGGAACCCCCTCAACTGGCACGTTCGAGTTTCATGGGATTCTGCAGCGATGTTTTGTAACTCTACGCTCTACGCGTTTCGTCACATGACACTTTGACACATGGATTTTCACAGCAAATGGTTCAGCTATAGAAGATCAATGCATAGTTTGCACTGCAACAATAATTGATAGCTTTGTTTGTTGCTGCAAACTAGCCCTCGAAAAAAATCCAAACCCCCAACCTTCTGATGGACTTAGGTAGGCTTCACTCCAAGGATTTTTGACTGATATGCAGTATGCAGTCGATTCAAAACACAAGCGGAAAGACGTTTTCTCTCTTCTTCACTTTTCTCGTTTACTATCCAAATTGGGACTATCCATAGTGTGAAGAAGAGAAGATAACATTGGGATTACTATCCAAATTGGGACTATCCATAGTGTGATAGAATGTTTCCAAATTGTGTGCAGAAACATTCTATCACACTTCATGCCATTGAAAGATCGTCAGGCGCCACCTTTGCATCAGCGTTCAACCTGGCACTTGATTCCAGATATTCTCAGCAAGGCCGAGTTTGTGATGATTGGATACTCCCAACAAAGGGGAATAACGGGATTGTAAATATCAAGAATATAGAGGTAGATTCAGGTAGATAGATTGATATAAGATACTTGAGGTGCCAAATTGTGTGCTTTCAAGCACCAACTGCTAGCGAATACGGACACAGGACACACTAATTACTGGTGGTACTCGGGCAGGTCCATCCTGCATCCCAAATGCCAAGCCGTGAGTGCTTTGATTGTGTAGACCCCATAGTTGCTAGCATAAGAGTGGTAATAAGGCTCTCATTTCATACAATCACCCTGCTGCACCCAGAACATTCCATATGCATCATCAATCCACTTATAGGTGCAATAAATATACGTGTGTGTATATATATATATATCAATGCGTCCTCAACATCCCCAACATTTGTTTCGGCAGCCCCTCCCGAAGGACCTCCCCCATAATAACCCTGCTGCAACATGCCCAGCGGCTGTTCCAATGTCTTCGCACTCAGCAAGTCTTTCAGCCTCGTCGGCCGGTCCAGAACCCCCTGTGGGTTGAAGGAGGATCTACATTGCATAATTGCAGAATTCTGGGATTCTACCAGTTGTATCCCATGAAAATATGCCAATACAACTAGGGTCACAACCACCATTCACCAGGGTGACTCAGGACCATAGCCCAGTTGTGGCTCTTATTGGTCAACAAGCAAGAATCATCAACTATTCATGTACCGACTAGTGTTGACTTCTGATCAACCAAGACTATAATCGCC